CCCCCTTTTCCCCTATCTGGCTATGCGCATGCTACCAACTGTTATATGCCGCTATTAATTTTGAGCAAGTTACGTAAGTTACAAATTTTAATTTTCTGTCTGCCGACAGACTTATAGATAGATCTGCTGACGAGGAGGTCTTAATGTTTTTCTGTTTGTTTTTCAGCAATAAACAACAATTATAAAAGGCATAAACAAATGAAAAAATTACTTAAAAATTATAATAAAAAATTTAATTTAAACAATAAAAAGTAAAAAAGTAAAAATTTAAAAGAAATTAATAAAACAATGCAATTAAAAGAAATTAATAAAATAAGTTTCCAAAAATTTAAAAAATTTTTAAAATTTATCTTTTTTATTCCAAATGCTAATTTAAAAATTAAAAATATTATAAAAACAAACTAACAAAATAAGTACGCAAAAATTAAATGACGTTAAAATAATATTTTTTATTGAAATAAAAGAAAGCAATATATTTTATTAAAAAAAAACGAAATGGCAAAATAAGTTCGTAAAAATTATATTAAATTAAAAAAATATTTTTCTTTGTAAAACAACAAAATCTAAAAGCTAAGTTAAACTAAAAAAGAATGAAAGACATTATAAACTAAGTTTTAAATATTTAAACTAAATTAAAAAATATATATTTTTAACAGTAAAAACTAAAAATTAATATAAGCTTTAATTAAAGAATTAAAAATAAGTAAAGATTTTCTAAAAAATTAATAAATTGCAAACGATATATTTTTTTAAACAATAAAATCTAAAGATATTAAACAAGTGTATAAAAATTAAAGAAAAATAAGTTGAAAAACAAAACAAGTTTCTGAAAATTGAACGAAATTAAAAAAATATATATATATATATTTTTCTTTTTAAAACAATAAAATCTAAGATTAAAAGAAAGCCAAATTAAAAAAGTAAGCTGACGTTCTTCCAGCAAAAGAGCAATAAGTTTACATTTAGAAATACATACCTACTTGTAATTTTGGCAATAAAATTAAATCGGTTTGCGACTGCTTGCTTAACTTATAAATTTTAAACTTTGTCAAAATACTATTTAGTAAAAATGTTAGTACTTTTTATTCAATTTAAGTAGTATATATATTCGGAAATCTTTTAGTTAAATTTAGTCACATTTTAACTTTTCTCTCTAATCATCGTTTGATTCTTTAATTTGTTTTTTAAATGCCAAATCTTGCAAGTCAGTAGTTGTTTTGCCAAAATTTTAAATAATATCTAGCCTACCATATACTATCCTAACTGCGAGTCTAAATTTTGTCAAGTGTATATTCATCAAATAAGTAACTACTAAAAACTTCATTAAAAAAAGAAAAACACCACGCTTTCTTCAGTTCATAGTTCTGTGCTTTCACTCAGCAAGCTTTTTAAGCCTAATACACATAAAGACTCTTCAGCTTAAAAGCATAGCTTCTCCGGCAAGTATGATTTTCATAATCTCGCAATTGTTTGGATTCTCTCTACAGTTTAACAGCTCTGTCAAGCTTTCTATACTAAATATATACCAAGTTTGAAAGTGCTTTGCCCGCGGGCAGGCCGGTGCTCATCACCGCTGTAGAGTGTATAGAAAGCTTGGCATGCGTACCTATAAAGTGGTAAACAGTATTCTCAATCATTTTTTGAGGTTCAAGGCTTGTTCTTTTAATTGAACTTTAAAGCTTATAGAAGTTTAATCCAATGCTTTTATTACATTTTTGCTTATTATTAACTCAGTGCTTTTAATATGGTAACAACCAAAACATATCTCGATGTAAAAGCGTTTTAAATCTTTCTGTAGGAGGTTTCTGTCTATAAGCACCTGTGTTAAAGCTTTTAGAAGTTTAATTCAATGCTTTTATTACATTTTTGTGTATTGTTAATTCATCCCCTATGTAAAAGCTTTTTAAAGCTTTCTGTATATGTCACATAGGCAAGCATAGAGTAAAAGCTCTCCGTCTCTGATCGTTCCTTTTCTAGTCAGTTAATACAAAAAGTGCTCAGGGACAATTATTACACGTGACGAATAGAGGGAGCTTATACTCTGCGCTCGTCCATATTAAATATATTAAAAGCTTTTAAAAGCTTGTCTTAATCAAGAATCCCGGTCGTAGGTATGCATTCCGGATCACTCTGTTTTTCGCAGTGTATCGGAAAACTACCGATTTCTATCCATATACATATATACTCTATGCTTAAAATTTAGGCGATAGTTTGTTCCTGTTGTTGCACAACAGTACGACAATGATAAACCACAGCTACAACAACAACAGCAGCAATAAGTGCACATGCATTACTAATACAGCAGGATCACGATAATCGCGTTTTATGCCACAAATTATGCGCTAACGTGATGCTGTACAACAACATATTCGTACGTATGTACATACAAATATGGCCAGAAGAAACGTACGTATTATCTGAATAGATAGTAATACAAAATAAAATATTTGTTTTTTTTTATCCTCAAAAGACGCATGCGCGCTTAGGTCCAATGGCTACATATGGCTACATCTAGGCATACAAATGCATACATCAACAACTTTTCATATATATATTTGCACATACAAATATACATATGTACATATATGTATATGGCTACACGCAGGCAATACCTCGTTGCGTTTAGTTTTCACAAGCATTCACAATAAATATTTAAAAAAAATACTTCTTGCTAAAAATAAATTATGCGAATACTTAAAAACCACTAAACATTTACGAATAATATTTGGATTATAATAAAAAAAGTGATGTTTGTGTTGAAATAACTCGTTAAGCTACTTAAAATAAGTATGAATGTTTGTGTGTGTGTGTGTATCTGTGTTTGCTAAGTTAAAAAGTATGAATTGGTAATAATACAACTTTTTGTCAGTATAAGTTTTGTTTTTGGAATTGCTTGGATTTGAATTGAGGTGTAATTTTGTTGCAATTGGGGTTTTAAGGTAAATACGTACGAATATAAAATTTCTCTAAATACTTTTAACTGGTAGCGAATATTTTTATTACGTAAAATACGATATGTTTAAATAATTGAAATAAATAAATTAGCATTCCACATCTAGTTAAATATTGCATAGAGGACACTTATCGCTTAAGAAATTGAAAAAAAACGGGATAATATTTACGGTATACTCATAAATTAAAGAATACTTTATTAATAAATTCAAACTAACTACTTGAGTATGAGTCATTGTTAACAAACTTCTTACCTTGCCAATACCAACTGCCTGGAGCACCGATGTACAAACGATCACCACGCTGTAAATAAGGAAGTTATAATTAAGAGAGAAAACACCATAATGATACAGATAGAGTACTGATATCGATAGCAACACCAACACCTATAGTTTTTGGACAGAAAATAATAACTGTATTTTCACTTTCGAAATTTTGAAAAACTGAAAACTTTGTTTAGTGATCGCAAATTTGTTTTGTATACTGTATCGTCGCCAACTTGAAAACAAGAATTGTTAGTTTTTGTTCCAACGCAGTGGAACAGCCTACCAAACTATTCGCAAATGTTAGTACTCATACGTTGTAATTTTTTAAAAAGATTTTGTTTGTATGTAATGGATTGCAACTTCCACTTTTTGACCCCAATATCCATTTTAAAATATGTATGTCATTTTATGTATAGAAGGATTGCAAATATTAATTATTTCCAAACCGATTTTTTTCTAGAACATTTTAACCCTTTAGCGCCTACCATAACGGGTCTTTTTGGCCCAATTTTGCAAAATTGGCAGTAAAATGTTTCGAATAAATGTTAGGCATCAATTTTTATTAAGGTTCACTGCCATCGAAAGTTTTGTGCGAAGTAAAGGGCAAAGCTTAAATACGTAATTTTTCATGAAATATAATAGAAAGAGTCCTCTATAGAAGAAATGGTGATGAGATGGCGTGAAAATTCTATCAGAGTTTGAGTACATTCAATAAAAGCAAAGACTTGAAAAATACCGAAAGGTTGCACAAAAAAAAATTTTAGGGTCAAGAAGATTATAATGACAACTTAGAAAGAAGTAAGGGCAGTTCTGTCTTCTGGCAACGCCTAAGGCTTCATACCTTTCATGAACTTCAGAAAATTTGGCTCCAACCTATTTCTTACGGCATTTTAATTTAATTGTGTGGAAGCTAAGAAAATGTTTTTATGTACATACACAGCATACATGGATAGGGGAGTTATATAACAAAAACTCATATCTGAACGATCACTGGTAGGGAAGATATTAATATGTACCATACAAAGCATCGATCTAAATGATTTTCACAGTCATCGCTAAGTAAACTTGACACACAATTTCTTGGTTTTAGTTGCCTACATAAAGGAGTTATATCGTAAACTCTTCTATCTGAACAATCAGTAGTATAGGAGATATAGCTTATAGAGCACCGATCTTAACGAATTTTTCAACACATTTTGTATGAAAATAGCTCAGGAAATTGCTCGATTTTAGCTGTTCAAGAGGTAATTTTAAAGTAAAACCCCATATGTGATCAATCAGTTGTATGGAGGCTATAGGTTATAGTTAACCGATCTTTGTCACTTTTACTGTAAACTGGAGTAGTATTAACAAAAAATCTCATATCGGAACAATAAGTTGTAAGAGAGCTGTATGTTGTAGTGGCCCGAATTATTTTTGGCTTCAATTAAGCGTCCAGTCTCGTAGGCAATTTTTTCACCTAGCGACAACTTTGCTTAGGTTGTAGATCGACTAGTATTTCTACTAAGTCGCATAGGCATACAATTTTGCCTCTCGTTATATCACTTGAGTTCAGAATTGCCATACTTCCTTTACAACCAGTTCGTAGAGTCAATAACCCTGAGCTGTTGCCCTGAGCTTAACTGTAGTTGCCTTCAACAAAGCATCTTTTTATAAACTGCGTTCCATAAGTATCCTCTTAGTTGAGGATATTCCTTCTCCATTGGTTATATGATTATCCCAAGTCGTGCTCTGGAAACAACAGTCTAGCTTTATTGCTAGTATTATCGTTATCAAATATGTCACTAAGGTCGGGAACTCAGATGAGTGGTTTGTTCGTTGGACTTAATATTCACAAGCAATCTCTGACTACCTTGAATCTATGTAGCTATTTTGCATGCAGGGACCAGAAGTGTTTCTTTACTAACTGAGAAGGTGTGCGCCTATGCCTTAAAGACCCACAATATTTCTGCTTAGAAGATGCTAGTATTGTTTGACAATCGGAACAAGCGAGATATGCAGCATCTGAGAGAATACCTTCGTACCCACTCAACGAAATCTAATTTATACTCAATCCCCCCTAGGAGGAAACTTTTCCTGGTTAGGTAAGCTTGATATGTCAGCTTCCAGTAGCGGAGGCCCAGTTAGACTATAAAATGAAATGTCCTTTGTGCTACCGTTTAGAGTGAGAGTGGATAAAGAAAGGATTTGGAAAGCGTAGGGCAACCTTAAGCTCGCGAAATGTGGGTAGCTGAGTAGTAGATGTTGAGATGATTCCAACTCGTCATCCTTCATATATTTAGCTGCTGCAGTAGGGAATTGAGTTGATGTTGAGTGTATACTAACGCTGGTAGCTCTATCAAGATTTTTTCAATACCCGGATAATGCCGATATTCGAATATCTAGTTAAAAAAATCGGATATCCGGATAGCGAAATTGACGAATATTAACCGGATATCCGGATAGCGAAAAAAGGATATCCGGATTTTATCACTATACACGAACATCCCGACGTACATCCCAAGCCCAAGTCTCAACGCATGGACTCCGCTTGAACAATGACTTTCCCTGAGTTAGCTATCTATAACTATAGTAAAATTTAAATACTCACAGAACTTGCGGCCGCGCTGAAGCCAGCCTGGCAGGAGCCTTGTCGGTGGTAACCCCAGTTATCTGTAAGGAAGTGATGAAAAAGATATCAAAGTATTGATTTCATAAATAAATAGTTAATAGATACTCTTATAATAGTAAGTATCAATAATAATCTAAACTATTATTTTCCAAATCCCAGTTTTAGAATTAAGCTACACTAGGGCCTTTGAAGTTTTAAGCAACTGCCCTTTCCAGCAGCCATTGCTGATAGGTTGCTTATCCTAAGCCAGCACTTACATATTTCTCTATATATATGGTGGAAATCACGAAAATATTTGTCATGAACCAAAAGCCGACGAAATGCACAAGAGAGTTGCTCGAATGCCACATGGCCAAATAAGGATAATTATTCCTGACGGAATTGAATGCTGACAAGCTGACGCAGGCAGCAAAGTAGCAGGAAGGCAAGGCGAATGGCAAAGCCACATACATACTTCAGAACCAATAAAATGCCTTTTCGCAGGTACTTATGCGCGTGAGCATAGACATACATACATACTATGCATTCAGGAGGAGCAGCGAAGTGTTTGCAACACCTAAACACGATTGCAGCAGCAACATTGCGCGAACAAATAAAATTAAGAAAAAAGAAAACAACACAACAGTGGCAATCACAAAAACAACTACAACAATTTAAGTTAACAACAAAAGGCTTAATGTAAATAAACTAACAACAACGCCAGCAGCATTGTGCAATCGGCCACAGCAGCATTTTGTGGCAATGAATGTGCGCCGCGCGTCTCGTCGCCTTCGATTTGCTCGATTTGGTTTTTGCTATTGTTGCACGCGCTGCTCCACCAGTCGAGACGAAGTATTTGTTGCATTGTACGCGCCTGCATTGTACTAGGCATTGTGCCACACCGCGTGCGCGCCTGCGCGAAAGATCAAATTAAACGATAACAATTTGTCGCCGAAGTGTTTCAATTTAAACGTTGCCAGCCTAAGGTACATATAAAGCATCGCCGTAAGCTCCGGCGGCCAATGGTGTATTGTGCGTCTATTGAGCGATGAAAAAATCACAACTTTTTGCTGCTGGCATGCCAAGGAGTGCCTCTTTAAGGAGCAGACCTTCTACTGCGCGCAGCCTACCTTCCCGCCATCGTTCTTCACTCTTCTGTTCAATTCTTGGTTGGCTTTACTTTGCCTTAACTTTGTTTGTTCTGCCGCTTTGGTTGTTGGTAGCTACTGCTTCATTTTTTTTGTTGCTTCTGTTCGACGCGCATTGTGAACATGGCCAGCGACATGCATCGCAGTTGGACATTTGTGCACGTGGTACATGGCTCGGTGTGGAGTGTAGTAACCTGGACGCGAACGCATTCAATCCCGTATTCTGGGCAATGTTAGCTTTGAACGGGAGTGAGGGGCAAATGCCTATAGTACGAGTGCCCCCATACACTGCTTATGCCATTATATGTATGTATTTGTTGTTCTTATTGTTGCTGTTGTGCGTTTATGTTACCTTTGCTGCATTGCATGTAACTTTCTACCATTCAAGAAGGTAATTCAAGTAATTCTCATAATAAAATCGCCCCCGTGTAGAATTTCAATTAGCTTTGTCGAGCATTTCATTTCATTCCTTTATTTATTTATTTTTTTTTTCGTTCGTACATTTCAAGTTTCAATGTTGTTGTCGCTGATGTTAAGTTGTTGTCCCTGTGTGTACTGTAATTTGTTATTTGTTGCTATTGCTATTTGTCATTTTTTGCCTTTAAAAATTCTTTGTAGCTATTAGTATGGCATTTGGTGCGTTAAGTTGGTATTTATTGCCCTGAGAAACGTCGGAATGTAACATACTCTAGGTCCAATGTTGGCCGATCTGCGGCCTCTGCACAGCTGCTGAGGTACTGAGGTTCAATAATTTTTGAAGCGTGTAATTGATGTGGTACACAGAGGGAAATTTTGGTTATTCGTATTACAATAGCATTTATGATAGCTCTAATTTTTCAACCGATCTAGATTTTCTGCAGAGTTTTGAATGGTTTTTGGCTTAAGAATTTAACAGGCATTCTGTTATAAGAGATTCCTAGAAAGCAAAAAAATAATTCATACTAAGTTACACCCATTGCTATCCCTAAATAGTACTTCCATCTACTTTGGGATGACGCTGGTTATCAGAAGCACTCCCCAAGCAGGCGTTTTTCTCTACTCTGGAATCTAACCCTTAACGCCCTAATTCTAAGCCCGTTATCAAGTAATAACTCAGGTTCTGAGTGAGTTATTGCGAAACGCAATCAGGCTTTGAACTTCGGGCCCAAGGAATGTGGACTTAGCGTGAGTCGTACCAAAACCGAAATGGCACTTTTCACAAGGAACTATAAAACTCCTCTATTCAAACCTCCCACCTAAACGGGGTGGCACTTACTCTGCCAACCGAGGTTTAAAACCTTGGAGTTATTCCAGATAAGAAACTTGACTGGAAGCGAAACAATAAAACCGTTCCAAAAAGGCCGCCATGTAGATTAACACAGCTGTGATCAGTGTTGCCAGGTCTTCGGCATGAGAAAACGTCCCTCTTGGTCGGAAAAAACGTCATTTCCTACCCAAAAACGTCTGTTTCAAATGTATGCACAAAGAATTGTTCTTATTAAACTTTCATTGTATACAAAGGTACATATCGTCGTTTAAAGTACTAAACCGCGTATCGTCATTCTGCAAAACCGCGTAACTGACATTGGCTGCCAAAAATTGGATTTGCTCACACAATCCTTATCCATTCGTCCTGAAATATACTAGCCAGAAATGCGATTGCTTTATAAAAAGGAGAACCATTTTGAAATATGAGTGTTTTTACGCTCTAGAAAACAATTTCTACAACTTCACGTACACGGTTTTGCATTTTATTGATACGCGGTTTTGCACTTTAAACGACGATATGTACGTAAGGTATATTAAAATGTCATTTGCTCTGTCATATTTAAAATTCATTCTAAACTGGTTTAAGATCGTTAATGTAAAAATCATTTTATACATACACTTGTGATCAGCTGATTAAGTCATCGATTTCGGCTGTTTCTTTTTTGTTTATTTAATGTTTATTATTTTTCCTTAAAAGCCGAGCTCATTATATAACAAACAAAATGTAAATCCACATTTCAAACTTTATGCAAAAATTATAAAACTTTCAACTTTTTATTCACATTTTTTAGAATTTTTTTTAGTATGCAGGTTGATAGCCCTTTAAGTTCCAGGGTAATTATGTGCAAGTTTTAAGGTGCTAAAGAATCGCGTTGATTTTTAATATATTTTTTTTTTCTTGTAAACATTTTCTTAAGTGGTCTGTTGGTGAAAATGCTAAACTACGTTCTGCTAAGAAGGAACATAGCAATATTTCAGCCTTTTTACGTTCATTACATTTCCAATAAGGGGCTCCATGCGATTAATTGTGTCATTTTCTTTATGCGCTTAAATAAAGGTTAAGTCGTCTGTGTCCAAAGAATAAATATTTTTTGTGGCAGCTGCTGCAAAAAACAAAGCTTGTAAAGATGTATTAAAAAAAAAAACAAAATCTGTTCAAGATTTAGTAACCGAGAAAAGTTACTGGGAAGTTAAAAAACGTAATTTTTTACACAAATAACGTCTAAACGTCAACAGGATACAAAAAACGTCCAAATGACGTTAAAAAACGTCAACCTGGCAACGCTGGCTGTGATAAGCCCATCTTTTCTACGGGGTCACCGCTAAACAACACTTTGCTCGGAGCCAAGGTGAAACGAGTGCAGAGAACAACTGCCATGCTCGTCACAGCACTTCTCTCAAATTATTATTCGGGGTAATCACCGAAACACTTCCTGATGGGAATACACAGAAAAAGGTTAGGATACCCGAACCAACGCTTTTTGTCACAGTTGGAGAGACGAGGAAGAGATGGAGAGCATCGAACATTATCTCTGCCATTGTCCTACCCTGGCGAATACGCGCAACCAATTCTCAACAAGCACTTTTTAGTTTGTTTAGCCGACCTGTGCTCGGCGAACGTTCTCGACTTTTTGTGCTACATAAAACGCACTCAGTGGTTCAATAACTAAGGGAGGGAAAGAAACAAGGAACAGAAATAAATGGCTAATGCCAGTGATATTACAAGAGGCTTTTCCAGCCTACGTTTGCTCCGTGCTATGCGCGGTGGCAGCCGCTCTAACCTAACCGAAGGGATGGCTGCTTAACGATAATATTACCGATTGGTGAATGATACCAAGTTTGGTATGCTAATGGGACCAAGCTAAGTAATTGGGTCTAATTGGAGTTGGTAAAGGCACTAGCAAAAGAAGCTGCCAATGTACACTCGCCTTACCCTATTTCAAACGCACACTTTGGATAGCGATGTTCCGATACTAAATAGCACTTAAAGGTATAGATATACTCGAGTACCTCTACCAAGTACTGAGTATTTTTTGTACTTCGATATGCGTGTACAAGTATTTGGTGGGTATCGATTACAATGTGCAAGTATTTACTTGTTTGCAAAACTTGTCAAAAATTCAACTGAAAATAGAGCTGTGTTGCCACAGCTTGGAAAATGCGATGGGTTTATATTTTGAAAAAAAAAAAACGAAGCAACGAAGTGAACTCGCTTTTTCTAGGGGTAAGACGAAAAGGGCGCAGCAGCGAATCAGAGGAGGATGAAGACCGAGTTTTTGATTTTTAGTAGCACAATCGAGAACTCATTTTGAAACAGAAACATCGAAAACAAGAACACGATGAGCTTCCGCATTACTTAACGTCTCCTGTCTTTCACTTCCCGGCTTCTACGGGAAACTAGAAGATGTCGGGTCAACGAATATTAGAAAATTAATTAGCAGCGGGAACTGATTTTAAATGGATAGGGATACGATTCGCCACGCTGCAAAACCAAATATACAAGTAAGCGTAAACAAATCCTTACTTGAAGAATCTTTAAAAAATAACAGAGTATCCAAAAAAATAATCAAACTATTACGTTTCAATGAAATACGACCTCCTCGCGTTCAACTGAAAGGAGAATTAAACTTATTGCTAACCACAAAATAAAATACAAATTAATTTACGTTTAACCAGCGAAAGCCACACACTTAACCAGTCAGGAATTGACAGCAAAAAAGGAAATCTTCCAAATCAGCTATAAAGGCTATAAAGAAGAATTTAAATACGTTTTGTATGTTTGTAAAGTCAAAGGCATAAAATACACTTGCAAGGCCTCAGACCTACGAAATCACCGCAGTACTACATATTTACATATTAACACGAAAATTATTATGTAGCGCCAGTAATGTAAACTTTTTTTTTACGAATTACTTACTCACACACATGTGCGACAAACAGAACAAAAGGGAATCCCTTCAAATCTCGAATGGGGAGAATATTGACAGCAAACGGAAAGACGAAAAATGTGTAATCAAATACTTTGTAAGTGTCAAATTTCGAGATACTAAAAATATACAAATCGGTGTGTCAAAGTCAAGTGTGGAAATGCTGCCACCGAAATACTCAAATCGCAGGCATATGTGGTGTTTAAGTGAAAATGTGTAAGCCCCTGGATTAGTTTACATATTTAGATCGATTTAGACAGATACCCGCATGTCTTTTACAAGTATGTCTTTCGAGAAACTATGAAATTCGTATAAAATTACCGTTACATGCTTGAAACGGAAATTACGATAAATTAAAAATGTATTTTTCTTCGATTTAATAGTGCAACAACATTTTCTTTGTCAGCTGTCAGACGATTGTGCTACGAGTGAAAACGCTAAGATGCTGCAACTTATGAGCTCCAAAATAGATTGCAAACGTATTAAATAACTCAGCAGGGGTTGTTGAATAACACCAAATTTAAATCTACCATCTGTGCAAGCAGACATTAAATTCACTATATCAAAACACGACTTAACAGCTTCCGGTTAACGTTTATACCTCTATCGTTAGAATTGAAGCTCGTTTTGTTGGATGAGGATTTTTTTCAAACTCCCTATCTGGATGTTATTCTAAAGCTGGTCTTTACAGCTCCAGACTTTCGAAAGTGTTCTTTGAGATGTCTGATATATAATTCTCTAGATATCTTAGAAGTTAAAATACTCAACAAAGTGAACCCCAAGAGTCTACGTATAGAGAATTTCAAAGCTTGCAAGCAATGTAGTATTTGACATAGGAAAATCTAGTTTGTTTAGGATAAAGAATTAGATATGAGTGTGTAATTTTAACCCAAAGTCACCACAACTATATTTTTTCAGATTTTTCTCAAGCCTTTTGGTTATCAACTTAACTTAAATTTCCTACAAACAGTGGAACAGAATCCGTTAAAACCTGTGGAATTATTTTTTAGACCTGTTCCACCATCTCTACTACATGACACAAAAAGTTTAGGCGAGATTTTCTTATGCAGCACCATCTAATTTATTATAAAAATATAGTTCTATACATTTACAATAGTTAAGAAACAAAAAAGTTAAATTTCCTAATTTTGTCCCAAACTCAGGAATATTCAATAATTTGCATATACATTTTTAAAGATTGTATTCAGATTTTTTAGAAATACATTGTGAAAAATTCTTTGTTCGCAGAATTTTGTGGTTCACTGTGTATTTTTTATTTTATTTATTTCTTTTTGGATTCACAAAAACCGTTTAAAGTTTTTAAAGACTCGCTCCGAAAACAAAGTCCACAGAAAAAAATCCAGTAGCAAGGCGCAAAAGCCTTCAATATAAAGAAAACAAACTAAACCAATACATACTTTTTGAAATGATTAATATGGTAAAATGAAACCTTTCGCCTTCCGCTAATTACTCATGAAATTGAAAAATTTCGGGCTGATAATTATAATTAGTAAAAAATATTTGCCACACATGCAGATATATAGACATGCATATTTGTATATGCTAATTGTTTGGCCGTTATACCTGTGCCAGATGCACATTAGGGTGGTCCTTAACTGTGGGATGCAAATTTTTACGTAAGATATCGTAAGCCTCAACTCCTACGTCGATACTACTATTGTCGAAGATATCACACATAAATTTTGGTCCCGATTGCAGACGGTTAAGGCGTGTCGCACTGGGGTCAAAGTTCAGATTACCCTATGAAGACATCTTAACCGACTCCGATTGGGGCCAAAATTTAAATGTGATATCTTCGACCTAAGTAGTATCGATTTCGGGTATTAAATGAAACAAATATTTTTAATTTTTTGAGTCTCCATAGTGGCATCTGGCCTTTGACTCCTTTGCGACACGCCTTAACCGACTCCAATCGGGACTTAGAGGAAAAAATAATTAATTTTAAATTTTTTAGTCTCTATAGAGGAATCTGTATTTTGCCCCTTGTGCGATACGCCTTACCCGTCTCCAGTCGGGAAAAAAATTTAGATGTGATATCTGTGACCCAGGTATTATCGAATGAAGGGGTGAGACTGAAAAAAATCGTTAATTTGATTTTTGTTAAGGGACACCCTAATGTACATACATAGATATGCATACTCTCATATGTTTGTGCATCCATACTTCTGCACACAAAAAAACATTTTAGGTATTTCTTTAATTTTCTCTCTGCTTAAAATGTTGCTAAATTGAAAACCCATCAAAACCCAAAAGCCTCATAGCAAATTACTTCGATACGGTTTGATTCTCCAGGCTTCTGTTAGAATGTTAAGCGCTTTCGGTTAGTTGTTTGCTCAGTAAACGCAAGAGCAATTTTCAGTTGAAATTGACATTATTTAAAAGGGGTAAAGAAAATAGATTTGACTTTGTGGCTTTGCGAAATACGTATTTGTCTTTAAACTTTACACTTGTCTTCAAATGCATAGAACCATATGTCAGTGCATAAGTTTCAGAATAGAAAGTTAAATTTGATTGCCTCTTGAGTTAAATTTTTGCAGCTAGCCAACTAGAGCAGTGCAAACCGCAATGTAAGAGTCGCTCTCTCTCTCTGTAACTAGCAGTGAACGTGTACGGGGGGTACTTAGTTTGAGACTTAGTCAGTTGTTGGGCTACAGACTGAGACCTAGAGATCTATTGTTCCCTTTTTCTGATTGTACTGTCTTGTTTAGGCTTAAACTCCTTAAAAAATTTCAACGTTATTTGGTAAAAGCGAGTGTATGTATTTGTTTTAATTCCAGCCTTTCTGAACTGCTGAATTCTTACTCCTGTCTCGATGTAATCCCATATACGAAGTAGTCAGATGTCTCAGCAGCAATTTATTTTATAAAAGTGGCATATTTTTTTCAAGCAAATTTCAAGTTTGTATGATGGCAACTTTGTCTACAGTGGTCTAATGAAATCCAAAGTGTTTGGACATCATATCGTTGATACCCTAAAACGTTTTATGAAATAATCACTTTTTTATGTTTTATTCACACGATATTGAAAAGCAAGAAAAAAAATAACCGGAATGTACCAGATCTTTTATTATTTAAAATTTATTTAAAAGAAATGTGAATTAATCTTAGTGATGGATTTCAGGACCCAAAGGATCCGCAGTACAATTCTAAAAACAATTTAACTTCGGGATGGGCGTGATCGGGACTGAAATTTTTGTCCCGTACCCGTCTCTAATTTGGAGCAATGTACAGTGTAGTGGATTTCCTGGATACGAAGCTTGAAAGTATCTTAAAATAGTCCTCAATTTTGTACAAAAGAGGAATAGTTAGCCAAAGTATTCTGGCCTTTGATTCGACAGAATGTTCGTGTCGATCAAAGAAAGCAAAAACAAGCCTTCGCCAAGCCATACAATTTTTAAGCTCAGATGCGTATGCGTGTAAAAAAAACATGCCTAATATACTGTTAAGAGATTTGTCGGGGCAACAGTATTTAATCTTGTAAGCCACACTAATCTAGCTCTCCTTTAAATACTTTATTTTAAACTGATGTAGTCAAGTGTATTCCATAATTTTGAAAATTCGTTTTACAAACAACCAATAAAGGAAATGCAAATTAACTAAAAATAAACTGCGCACTTTAAATGCAGCTAAAAATAATCTTAATCAATCTTTCTTCTGCATATCAATACTTTTACGCTCGAATACTCACTTGTGCGACATGGCGAGACTTCATTGAAATGCGTAAAATTCCTGGATGTGAAGCACGTACCGACTGGATCATAACGCAATGATTTATTTGGTGTCATTGTATGGAAGACATAACGTGGCGCGCAAGCCTGAAAAAAATCATGGAAAGAAGTACATAAATATCGTACATAAACATATGCGAAAATAAAACAAATTCATGAGCAGATAAAATTTAATTTCCATACATAAATCGTAATTACAATAATTTAAATAAAAATGTGAAAATATTTTTTTTTTTTGTTTTTTTTTTTAGAGAGTACGTGTCAAGTGCAGCAGAATTGTTTAGATGAGCCGTCAACAACAAAACTGACGTTGAAATCTAATTCAATGCAATGCCTGGAAGCTAAGCAATGCAATTTTTCAACTCTTTCAAAATAGATTTCCCCAGCAAAAACTCACTGCCGGTTTGTGTGTGCGCTTTTGCATAAAATCGCTTGCGTGTTTGTTTATGTGCATATCGGGCAATGGCAATTACTTTTACAAATTTATACAATACTTATACCAAATGCAGTTGAAATGCACAAATGCTTAAGCTACGCATCCGCGCCTTATATGGGCCAAACGAAAAATGGGCAAATAAAAAGAGACAAAAAAAAACAAAACTGAAACGCATTTGAACAAAAGGCCGAACTAAAGACAGGCTTAAGCACTCATGCGCATGTACACACAGGCGCACTTCTAGCACCATCACCTACCGACATAGCACATATCTATGTAAGTGGCCTCACTGGCCATGCGCGCTTGGACCCACCAAGCCTCGGCCTGGGACGACAGCACAAGTGAGAAGCGTTTTGCGCATTTATTGTTTACCACTCACTTTGCGCTGGCGAGGCGATCTGCTGCCATTTCCTGGCTACAAACTAAGTACTCTGTGCTCTAGCGGTTGGCAGTTGGCTATGTGTCCTCGGCATTTCGCCGCTGGAGTTTTTGTTGTTTTTATTTTGTTTGTGTGGCATTTCTTTAGTGAATTTTAAGCACTTCATGTCTGAAAATATTTGGGAAAGCGCTTTTTTGTGCGCATACACTATTCGTATGCATGTTTGTACATATCTACACATGTACATTTATGCCTCCCTCCAAACTTAGCCGTCAGTCGCTTGCAATTTTTTGTCTGTGCTTCCCTTTTTATTTATTTTTATTTTATTTTTTTCTTGGTTGGTTGGTTGGGTAGTACTGGTGTGCATTGCCGTCATGTTATGCGCACGTTGCATGCATTGAAGCGCATACACAATTTTTTCGCAATATTTATTCCTCCATTTTACCAAACAGAAATAGAACAGTCCGTTGAAAAGACGTTGATCGGTTAACAATAGCGTTGACGTGCGCACAGTGTGTCGGTTAGGAAGACTCGCTGAATAGAAATTTCAAGGCGAATTAATATAAGGTGATAGCAGGAGTACAAAAACAAAAATTTACATGTATTTTATTTTAGCTTTGGCGGCATAAACTATTAAACTCTGTAAGAATGTGTGTGGAAATTCAAACAAAATGTTTAAATTTGACATCCAAAGCCGTGAGGCGAAACACATATGTATATACACAAACTCAGCTGATCTAGTAACATCACCTTATATAAATTCGCCTTGAGAAATTTATTCAGTGAACCTCTATCTGTTGAAGTGATTTGAATCTGAACCTACTCTTTACGGTTTCTTATCGGATTCTAGAGAAGACCTATGAAGCCCAATAGATATAAATAAATAAAAAATAAAAAAAATAAAACATGGTTAAAAGCTACACCAAAATCAAGAAAAATTCCTGGTAATAGTTCCTCGTATACCCCTATCTCTCTTCGATATGGAAAGCAACCGTCGCCATTGTCTACGCTTTAAGTACGCACAGAGGATAATTTATAGATTACTGCTAAATCAGGACATCCGATTTTAGATGCCTCTTGAAGCTCTGTTAGGAAAATATTTATCAACTAACCAAGGAACCTATGTACTTATCCACCTTACTGTGGTAGCCAGGAACGGCGGTGCTCAGTTCCATGGTATAACCCGGGAGGTCCGCATTGAACAAAAAATGCAGCATTTTGTCCCTAGATGAGCTCCAGTTGCCATTTATCTTCCGGATAAAAAGATTTAAATAAATATAAAACTTTGATAAAACATAACCGATTGGCTTCCAGACTTCCTCAACGTTATTGCGGACAATTTTCCATGAATTCCTGTTTTAATGGATAGATAAATTACATGAAGCTCTATTTTAATAGCTCCCTCGAAATTTTTGAAGGCCGCCTTGAAGGTAAGCCACGAACCGTCTCGTTTTAACTAATTGTAGAGGCTCCAGCTCTCCATCCTCAGTAAGTCGATTTCATAGATCCATCAGTGGGGCAACTTTTTAAACTTCGCAACTACTAATACCCAGACGGAAAACGCCACATTACCGCTTCACTGATCTGGTTCACTTTCACTTTTACTTCAATCAATGACCCCTTGGATCTAGTTCCCTGATAATAGCATTCTGAATGTATGCTTAGGTTAAGAGGGATTTCCGGGTTCCCAGTGGCCAATCAGGAGTAGTAGATATGCAAAAAGCTTAGGTTGAGGATAGCTTATCCTATATCACTTCACTTGAAAGAGGCGGCTATGAAATCGGTGGTCAGAGTCAGAAAGTCGACACTGTGGTGGACTAGGCAACCCTGGTACGACTTTTATTATTAATGTAATGCAAATGGAAAGTAGGGCACAGTAAGTACATGGGAGCTAATCTTGACCTCAGATTGGCGATAGCATATCGGGCGACCAAATCTTAGCTGGTAAAGCTATGAAAAATTTAGTTATGGTCAGTGTTTCAGCCAATAAATGTCTCTCTTGTGTGGGTTTCTCTTTAAAGTAACAACGAACGCATTGAGAAAGATGATGAATTGACGAAAACAGCAACAAGTTGTGAGGAATCCTTAAGCGGTGGCACTGTATGTCCTTTTTAAATAGTCCAAAAATAAATTTACCAAAATTTTTTTGGACTGTCTATAAACAGGTGGTCAGGCATACGGACTTACTAGATATCAAGAGAACTCCGGTCTGACTATAACAGGGCGAATATTTTGGATCTGTTTAACATATCAAGAAGAGAATAATTCAGAATAGCTACCATTACGGAACACTGGCCTTTAGGCAACCATACGCAAGTTACGAGGAAACACTAAACAAACTACCAACACTCCACCCTCCTGAATGGCAACAGCACCGAAGGTAGTGGAGAAGACGAAACCGAGCCCACAGTCGATGTTGATGGAGTCGATATCCCCACGCGCCAACTACCGCGGGCTCAGCCTTCTAAGCATAGGTTATAAGGTCTTATCGAGTGTATTGTGTGAAAGACTGAAGCCCACCATCAACGAACTGATTGGACCTTATTGTACACTTCACTATTTGTACACTTCAAAGCCGCTTTCAATGCCACTAAAAGGAGTTGCCTACACGCCGCGATGTCTGAATTTGGCATCTTAAATAGGGCTTTCTTCAATGAAACTCTGAAGTAGGGCTTTCTGAGATAGAGCGTTTTCGAACTGGCTGCCGAAATAGGTCGATCTTCCACTCTGGTGACGATATGTAGTTACAACAAATTTTCCAATTCTTAAAGTTTCCAAGCTCCCCTTATATAGTACATTCAAACCACTGTACTCTTATTGGCGGTGACCATTTAATATTTTTTTATTGTAGATCACAAAGCTATGAGAATAAGTTGTTTGCAGGGCACCACAACACATTTGCGCATCTTAAGATCACAATTACAAAAAGATTAAAGAAATAAATATAAGACGAACACAAAAGATAGCTGAAGTTATTTGTGCGCTGCTCAAGTCTTTTCTTCTGTTCGGCATCTTTTTTTTGTTTTATTTTTTTTTTTGCACACGAAGCTTAAGTCATATTGACCATTTGTGGCATGAAAAGGTTAAGGTAGCAGGGCACATAAATGCCGCACTAAAAGGTAGTGTATTATACTCATGTGTATCTAAATATACATACATACTCATGCATACACGTCTATGCATTGGCGGTTGTCAGCTATGTGGCTATTGTCAGCAAGCCAGCCAGTTAAAAAAAGAAACAAGAACACCTACTACTCAACACAAAAAAGGAAAATAAACGACGCCATACTAAAGATGAAGACTTACGAGTCCATAACAATGTGGACCACAGCACAGCCGCAAAGGAGCATGGAACACTACGGGTAAACATTTTAAATGTGCGCATGCGCGCTTAAAAGCACAACGGCAACCGGGCAAGCAGCCAGCCAGCTTGGCCATCAGCCAGTGCCCACAAAAGGCAAGGCAAGGCGAGTCGAGTCGATTTGAGTGGAAGATATATTGGACCATTTTGACCAATGGATTAAATATGTATGTATTTTGAGAGATAAAGGCGACAAGCTACCAAAGCGAATAAAACAATAAAATAATAATAATAACAGAAGAGACAATCGCAATAAAAATCAACATAATTCGACTGCGATCCGATGACGATTGTGTTGTTGCAAAATTATTTTTGATTTCTTTTACATTTCTTGCTTGGTTGCGCTTTACTATAGTTTATTCCTTTTGTGAACGATTAAGTACGAAACGTCAACAGAGAAGATCGTGATTTTCTGACTATTCAATGGAACAATGGACAATATTGAACGTATTAAAAATAGATAGGCTGGATGAAGTACTCTGAAGTATTGAAATAAGTGCACGATCACACAGTGTTTAGAAAATTTGTTTACAAAGAAATTTTTGCTTCAGAAAATGTGCATCTTTTTACTTAAAGGCAGCACGATTTTCCCTTTAAAGCGATTACCAGGAAATTCAAGTCATTGAAGTGTTTAAAATTTTCAGAAGAATTAGAACAGTCTTTTGACAACAATTATATGTGAGAAAAATTTTTTTACGTCATCGATTACTATTATTTTAAGGCTTATATAATGAAAGTCTTTTCAATAAAATAATTATTAGCGAGATAAATATATTTAAGTTTTCAAGGAGTTTTATTTTGAGACCTATATCATAAAAGTCTTTTCATAATAATTATAAGTGCGAAAAAATTGTTTAAGTCTTAAAGGACGGGGCTTGTTCAAGACCATTTCGGGATTATTTTGGGACCAT